ATCTTATTTTATGATTAAATCTTTATTCTACCTAGAATTAACTTTTGCATAATACTTGGTAAACATCTAAGTATTTTTCCAAATAGCCTATTATCCCAATACATTTGTTGAGTAATTCATCTTTTTTTACACATTGATCTGAAATGCCACCTTTACCATATATAAACCCTTTACCCCCATGTATACAAAGATATACTCTCTATATTTTTTTGATATCTTTTTGATCTATTTTATTGTCTATGCTATAGTGACCAATTCACAGAAGAACAACAAATACTGGTTGAGGGACTGTTGCACTCCCTCTAAATCCAGGATGTTTGTAAGAACTGTTTCTGACTTATTTCATTAAGCATAATGTTCTCCAGGTTCATCCATGTTGTTGTCAATAGCCAGATTTCCTTCTTTTTTATGCTTTGAGATACTACTTTCATTTCCTTTGGCTATATACCCTGAATAGAAGCAGAAAGTAGAATGCTGATTACCAGAAACTAGGGGTGGGGTAAATGTGGAGATATTGGTCAAAGAGTACAAACTTTCAATTCCAGGAGTCTCTTGGCTGAATCCTTGGGATTTTCTAGGTATAACAGCACATCATCAGCAAAGAGTGAGAGTTTGACCTCTTCTGCCCCTATTCGGACACCCTTAATTCCCTTCTCTTATCTGATTGCTCTGGCAAGGACTTCCAACACTATGTTGAACAGAAGTGGAGATAGTGGGCAACTTTGGTTCCAGTTCTAAGTGGGAATGCTTTCAACTTTTCCCCATTGAATATGATATTGGCTGTGGGGTTGTCATATATGGCCTTAATAATTTTAAGGAATGTCCCATCTATGCCGATTTTTTTGAGGGTTTTTATCATAAAAGTGTGCTGGATTTTATCAAATGCTTTTTCTGCATCTATTGAGAGAATCATATGGACTTTGTTCTTACTTTTATTTATGTGGTGAATTACATTTATAGATTTGCGTATGGTGAACCAGACTTGCATCCCTGGGATAAAGCCCACCTGGTCGTGGTGAATTATTTTTTTGATGTGTTGTTGGCTTCGGTTTGCTAAAATTTTGTTGAGAATTTTTGCACCTATATTCATGACAGACATTGGTCTGTGGTTTTGTTTTTTTGCTACATCCTTTCCTGGCTTTGGTATCAAGGTGATATCGGCTTCTGAGTTGGGGAGGATACCATCGTTCTCAATGTTAACGAATTCAGTAAAGTCTCAGGATACAAACTTAACACACGCAAATCAGTAGCATTCATATACGCCAATAACAGTCAATCAGAAAATCAAATCAAAGATGCAACACCTTTCACAACAGTATCAAAGAAATTTAAATATTTAGAAATATATTTAACAAAGGAGGTGAGAGATATTTATAGGCAGCACTATGAAATGCTGAGAAAAGAAACTGTAGAAGGTGTAAACAGATGGAAATCCCTACAATGCTCATGGATTGGTAGAATCAATATTGTTAAAATATCCATTCTATCTAAAGGGATCTACAGAACTAATGTAATCCCTATCAAAATACCACCATCATTCTTTACAGATTTAGAAAAAGTAATTCTTTGCTTTGTTTGGAACCAGAGAAGACCTCGTATAGACAAAGCAATCCTAAGCAAAAAGAAAAAATTGGGAGGCATCAGTCTGCCAGACTTTAATCTTTACTATAAGGTTATAGTAACCAAAACAGCATGGTACTGGCACAAGAACAGCGATAGAGA